GGATCTGAGCAGTTCTCTCAGGATCTGAGCAGTCCTCTCAGGATCTGGCTGCAGTCAGCACAGACAATCCTCACCATTTCTTACTCCAAGCACTCGGGAAAGTTTCCATGTTTCTCTAAAGAGTTGCCTGAAGCTCAAAGAAGAGCCCACACGAAAACACAAGACAGACAACATTGGCACTATGTGCATTATTTGTAAGAAGGAAGGTTAAATACATTCCCATTTCCCAGATGTTTCGAGGCTCGTTGCTAGAAAAAGTCTGGCACGTCATGGGGAAATGTGATGGTACAAAACAGGACCTTCAGGGTCCCAAAAACATACGGGTTTGGGGAAACATCCCCCACCCCCAACAGAGGGAAATGAGACACAGATCGTGTATTTTCCTGATGAGAAACCAAGGTTTCACAGAGAATCAGTAAACATGCTCATGCTCCCCACCTGTTTTCTATTTAGAGCAAAAAAAGGCAATTAATATGACTTTTTAAGCAACGATTAATAAAAGAAACCTACAAACAGAGATTCCTAATTGAAAATGTCTTTACTCACATGAGGCAGAGGATCAAAATATGACAAGAGCACTAAGCATAGTCTCTCCCAGCTGCACAAACCATTCCTTAACAACCTTCAGATTAATAAACAAAGACATGCTCTAGCCATTTCATCTCCCTCCTGGATTTAGCTGCATACAAAAGGCAAACAGGAGAAAGTCACCCTCTGACTTTACTCCCCTTCAGAACGGGGCTCCCAAGTAGTACATCATGTAATTTGGGAACCCCTCACTCTGAGCAGACACACAGAGAGATACGAGGGGGAAAATTTCCTCGCAGGAAGAAGCTGATTTAAGCGTATCATTTATTAGCAAGTAAAAGGACATTTCCCCTCTCAGTGGTGAAGCACAACACAAGCCAAGGATAAGCCATATGGGTGAAGCCTTTGTGTGAGGGAGAAAGCTGGCAGGGCTCCACAGCTCTAATTGAACTATTACCATATTGTAAGAAATGAAAAAGTCAGGAGGGCTGGAGGATCTGCTCTCCCAGGGCCAGTTCATGTCATGTGGACAATTAAGTGAGTAACAAAGCGTATTCACCAGGAGAGCAATTCCACCATTCGGACACTGGTTTGTTTTAAAGAACATAGGTGCTCTTCTAGTTCAATATTGCACTTAATTTGACACTTGCTGCCATGAAACCTTCCAAATCCAAATCATTTGTAGCAAACAATGCAACGCTTCTCCTTTAATTGCCGGCTCAAGACTTTTCCATGTAGTTAATAAGGAAAGACACGGAGCGAAAACGCTCAAGTGAAACCCTGCAACACATAAAAGCTTACCATAGAAACTGTCATAAAACAGAAAAATGCAAAAGATTAAGTACAAAATTAATTTCTCTCAAAAGACAGGCTTGGGAAAAACTTCCCAAGCGTTAGACACTGTGCACACACAACTGGGACTGGAGGGAAACACAATAAAACCAGGTGATGAACAGAGAGAATCTGCAGTGGTTGCTCATAAATAAACTTTACAGTGTCATCTGGTTACTTTGTGGGCAGAGAGAAGTGGAGTTGTATGAGGAGTGGAAAAAAATAAACCCCAGTCTTACAAAAAAGTGAGGCAAAATCTTGTTCTTACCATTCTGTTCATCCAGCTCATTCCCAATTTCCTGTCCCATTTGCTTTTGCCGTGATATGATTGAAGAAAGAGCATCAAGTCCTGCATCTTGTTCTGCACCAGAAAAATATATTAGATTACATGAAAAAGTTGCTGATGTGCCAGGCTACATAAACTAAATAGAAGTGAATAAAAAGGTTCACTCTGTGCTTAGAGAGCTAAAATGTATTAAGTAAAATACATCACACAACATGAAAACTAATCATTATGGGAACAGTGCTCTTAAAATAATGGAAATGATGGGTAATTAATTCCTCTGCTCTGGCTGGGACACTTTACTGAGGGTCCCAAAAGAAAAAATAAAATAAAATCCAAGAATTCAACATTCAGTTGTTACTCAGTCATAAATGCAGGGGATTTTCTGGCACACAGAGAGAGCTCCTGATTAGCCTTCTTAAATTTTCCAAGCAACTTTTAACATGGATAAAAGAAAACAGGTGATGCAAACACCAAAGAATTCAAATGGCTTTTTAAAGCTGCAAGAGGATCCAAAATGTGTGGGAGAGCCTGAGGGAGAGGGGACACAGGGGGCAGATAAAATTGATGTGCTGCCACCTCTGCAGACACTCCTTTGTGAGGAACTGCCAGTCTGCTGGCACCACATCGGCCTCAGGAAGCCCCTTATCCAAAATGTGCAGCTCTCCTTGCCCAAATCTGCCAGGAAGTGGCACAAGAAGAGCTGCAGGAGGCTGGAGGGTCAGTGCTCTGACCACCTGCACAGCAGTGATGCTGCACAGAGCAAGACTGGCAGTGGCTGCACTCCAGGACAGGCAGGACCCCCTTCCCTTCAACAGGATGAAGGTCTGGTCCCCCAACACCTCTTTCAGCCTCCCTTTAATTACTCATGGTGTAATTAAAAACTCAGGTTGAGGTTTCTTTTGGACCATCCAGACAGAGCTCAGAACATCTGAGCAGCATCTACAGGTATTTCCATGCAGGCTGAAGTGGGTCTTATCTGGAGTCTGATTTCCTTCAGTCACCTCCCAACACTTTGATTGCATGGAAATGACCTCGTTAACCACCTGCTGTCCTCAGGCTGAGGTTTTCCAACACTTCCAAAGTTACAGATTCCTTAAGGATGCTGGGGGCCAAAATCTAAAGACTCCTTTTGGAAGAGTTAATTCTCACCTAGCTCCAACTCAACAATCCATCTCATGCACCCCCCAACACCACTACACCCAGTGCAATTACTGTGATCACCACTGCCAACCAAAACCATGAACATGGTCAAAATCAGGTCTTTCAAAATCTGATTTAAGAAGATGCTTCTAGTTAAGAACATGGCAAGCACAACGCTGCTCCTGCAAACACAGAAAACATCCACCTGGAAATGTTATGTTTTGACAACTCCAGATAAGAAAACTCCAGCACAGGTGGGTGTATTGATATTCAAATAAGGGCTCCTCTCACAGTGCCAGAGATGCTCACAACTACCACAAAGACTCTTGTACCTTCTATGATCCTTCTCTGCTGCTGCCTGAGATCATCAAAGCCAAGCCCTCTGGTTTCCTCTGGTTCTTCCAAGAGCCACGGGTTGGTGACACCTCGTTTGATCCCTCCTGTCATTAGGCTGGATCTGAAAATAACTTCAGTAAGTAATTTTCAACACAACCCCCCCCTTGTTGTATAATTTGCCCCTCCCAGAGAGGCAGACAGACAGCAGGACAAGCATTTCCTGCACTCCATGGGGTTCTCTGCAATCCCAGAAGAAATCAGACAGAAAAGAATCCCACGATCTCCAATAACAAATCCATCTCACAGGCCCCATAACACTGCCACTGGAAGTGGTAAGGAAGGAGAGAATTCATTTTGCAGTGAATAATCAAGGTAGAGAGTGAAATGTATTGTATATTATATGGAAATGTATACCATGTACTGTATGATATATTGACATGTATCCCATGTACTGTATCATATACTGAATGTACACAATATATTGTATAATATATCCATATCAAATGGTGTTTGCATGTAGAACAAACTGCCACAAAAAGAATGTATATTCCTGGGAATACACATTGTTGTTCCCTTGTTTGCTCCACTATCAAAACACAAACTTATAAAAGCACTGCTACAGACTCAAAGCTTCCAAGTTAAAGGATGCATTCTGCTAATACAGATGCAAATCAGATGAGACTTCTAATGCCCTGCAATCCTGACTAAACCTCAACAGCAACCTTCCTGCATTTCAAAAACTGCTGATGGACATCACACAGCTCCCCTCCTACACTTCCTAATCTGGCATCAACCTGAACAAGAAGCCAGGAACACACACTTTTGAATGAAAAAATAATCAAATAGTGGGTTTTCTTTTAAAAGAATTATGACTTGAGGTTGTTCATGTTACAGACACTTCCCTAGTGACAATGAAAACCAAGTTCTCCATGTTCAGGGCACATAAATCCAAGCAGTAAAATGAAACACCACTTAAGTATTTTTCTCAATACCAGATTTCTGGTTTCTGCCTTGTAGTTCTTCATGGGTTTCTCCTACAAGACAAATCTTGTATGAGAGACTGAGAGTCACCTAAACCCAGAACTGCAACTCAGGTTTGGGGACAAGTCATGCTAAGATTTGTTCCTCCACAGCAGATTTTGCTTTCTGCTTTGTTTTCCAAACTCTGTTTTTTATTCCCATTTTACCTTTTCCCTGTTCTTTCCCAAAGCAATTCCACAAAGAACACAAGAACAGAAAGCGTTTTCAGGGTCTCTCAAATTCTCAAGTTTTTTAACACACTAAGAGCTAAGTTTAAATTTTGTAGTTGTTTTGCTTGTTTAATTGAGTCCAGGTCCTCCTCCCTGAGCATTTTATGGCCAAAGCCCCGTGTCAGGAGTTCACTCTGCACGAGGATCGAGGGGGCCAGGAGGGGCCAAGAACCTGCTGACAGGGGCTCAGGCTGAAGGGGATCCGAGCACAGCCCAGAACCTGTGTCGGAGTTCCTGGAGGAACTGTGGTGAACTGGGGACATCTCCTGGCCGGGAGATGGATCAGCACTGCTGGGAAATAACCCCGCACTGAGTGAGTCCAGGCACACTTCCCACCACACTCACAGCCACACGTGAGAGCTCTTCACCTCTGCTCACTGAACATTATAGTGTGGTCATGGGACTTCATCTCTTTATTGGTCACAATAAAACAGGAATATTTTTGCTAGAAGCAACTAAAAACCACTTATTGTAAACCACACCATCTCCCTTAAGCACCCTGGGGATGCTGAACACCAGAGCACACCCAGCCTGCCCTGCTGTGCCACAACCAGCTGGATGTCTTGGGCAACAGCACAGAGGAGCTGGGATTCTTCTGCATTCCAGTCCTTCACACCTCCATTAAAACTTACAGGTACTTATGGAGGCTGGGAATCTGGCTTGGTTAGACAAAGAAACACACACCTGAAATGCAGTTTTACACATCACCTAGCTTTCTTCATTGCTTTGGGGCATTAAATATGCTCTTCTATTTCCCAGTCTCACAACTGCCACCAGGTTCACAACGGAACACGATGGAAACTGCACTTCTGAAGGTGGAAAAACCATTTCAGTCGACCCAGTTCAGCAGTTCAATTAGCAAGGATACAAAATCCAGGGGAACATCTGACAAAATTACTTAACTAAAGCAAACAGAACATAAAGCTCTCTGCTTGCTAAAAAGAGCACAACTATTTCTGCCCGTTAAAAAAAAAGCCAAGGCAAGCAAATTTGAAATAATTTGCAGCGCTCTCTCCCTCCCTCCCCCCCAGTGATCTGCCCTGTTCTTGTAGGTTGGGTCATGACAACAGGTCTGCTCGTTACAATAATCTTTTTGACATGTTTGGTAACTACCTTCCCACACAACACAGCAGAACTTCCTCCTTCCTCTGATCTTCCCATGTTTCGCTTTGGTGGTGTGAAGATTAAAGCTTATCCAATTAGCCACCCACTGCCTCCGCCAAGTTAATCACGTAAATCTTGGAAACCGTCACAGAGCAGTGGAGTGTGGGGATGGCTTTTGATTATAGGAACAGATTTAAGTAATTACAAGGCTCAGCAATGCGCCCAAGTATAAAAGATGATGGGGGTTAAAATCAGGGAGCTATGTCACCGCTTAACAAGGGAGGGCTTATCTTCCAGAGGGCATTGTTTCACTGGTAATTCTTATAACACTTCCCAAGTAACTTAGATTAGTCAACCAGCACTTACTTTAGACCAAGGCCACACATCGAGGCTTAGACCGATCAGCAAGACTGAGTTCTAAACAAAACCTGGGTCATATGACAGCTGGGTGGATGATCACTTGAACATTCCCTTAACGACACTGTCCCAAACTGGGGTCTTTGAAGCACCCAGGGCACCTCAGCTTGGCTTCACAGGTCAGTGCCCACGGCGATGGTGAAGGGCCAGGGCATCCTCTCACTTACGGTTTCACTGCTCACACTGCCAGGCAGTGTGTTTTTGGGAGGCTCCAAGCTAATAAATAAAACAAGTATCATTTTAAAGAACAAAGCAAAAGCACTCTCTCTCCCTCTAAAAAATCTGGGAGAAGCCACATGAGCACAGGCACTTCCAAATCCCTCCAGTTACCATCCCAGGTGGAGATTTCCCCAAAAGAAGGGGCAGCATTCCCTGCAGGTGGCAGAGGACTTCCCAGCCCCACCAGCACAAGAACTGGTGTTCTCATGTTCCAGGAAATGCTGTGTTGCTCTTGACACCATTTACCTGTGGTTGGGTTAACTGGTCCCACTGGCTTCAAGGACTGGGAGCTGCACATGCTGGCTGCCTCATGGGATGCCAGACAGAGGATTTGCAGAACAAAACCCTTCAGCAGCTCCAGGACCACCAATTCTTGCCCACAACACCAGCACAGCACCTTCCCACCACAGAGCAAGTTGTTCCCACCCACCTCATGCATCAGTTTTGCTATCAAATATTACTGTCTTCTTTCTACACCATCCCTTATTTTCCAAGCAAGATTGGACACAGCACAATATGAAATATATTATAACCCAGCTCATACAGTTCTCAGTGAAACAGTCTCAACTCTACAGCCCACCTGCACCCCTCAGGAATGAGAGCTATGAGAAAGAAGAATTCTTTCTAGAAAGAAGTAGCACCTTGTATTATTATACCCAGAGAAAAGGCAGAGGGACAAACCCACTCCTGTAAGACCAGTCCAGGTCGCAAAGTGCTCAACAACTCCCTCACCTGCCCCTCAGACCCTGTAATGAGCCCTCCTGGGCCCATCCAGAGGCTCCAGGCAGGTCTCACTTGGCATCCGTGCCCCCTGCAGCCAGGCCAGAGGGTCCCGGGGACACGGCTGGGACAGGAACACCTCAGGCAGGGAACCCCCCGGAGTTCTGACCAAACTTCAGGGGTAAAACCCACACAGGAGCTCAGCCTTGAACCTGCCCTGCTACAGACACTCCTTCCTGAGGGTGCTGAGCCCTGAGCCTCAGAACAGCCTGTAGGCTCAGCCTGAAGTGCCTGAAATTATGGGGTTTGACTTGCTGGGCTTAGGAATCCCTCTCTGCTATTCCTTACAAACCCAGGTATATACAGACATCCCAAGTACAGAGACACAGGTGAGGGGGTGAGGAGGGTGTTGGACAATCCTGACCACACGGCCAAAGACACAATAATCCTGGAAAAACCCTGCCCCACCCCTAGATTTGATCTCACAACTCAAGCCTCAGGCATTATCAAGGATGGGCTCCTGGAGGGACAATTCACCTCTTCTCCCACCCTTTCCATCCACCTCCCAGACACCAAAGGCTAATCCCACTCCAGGTCAGAACACCATAGCTGCAGCTGGGAGGGCTTCCAGCAGTAACTGGGAGGGAGGAAGGACACAAGGAAGGAGTTCTAAAGGCACTTAAACAACTATTTTTTATTTTATTTCCTGAAGAGCATTTGCCCCTCCACAAACAAGTGTCAGACTCCCAAAAGCATTAACACCTGATGGCTCATGGATTGAACCCGGGCACTTGATGCCTGTTTGGCATTAGGTAAAATTCCTGTTGGGATCAAAACTGAATCACCTCACATCTCACAGAAACGTGTTTAAACAGGAAAAATGGTAACCCACATTGAAGAAAAATGAACTCTTCTAAAATGTACCCGTGGTAGCTCTTGCTGAAGGTGTTTTGTGTCACACAGCTACGAAAAGTTTTCTATGTTCTTGAGAAATTCCAAGAGAAATCAAGAAAGGTCAGTTAATTTGTTTGTTCTCTGGTGATTGACATGCACAGTCTGATGACCTGGTCAGACAGGAGGAAGAATATTTCAATTCCTTTGTCCTCACAAATGTTTAAAGTCTCAAAGAAGTTTGACATATGATTCCCAGAAAGCCAACATTTCTGGTTGCTTCTTCCCCTTCTGCTTTTCAAATGGTGTGAATC